TAGGGTACTAGAAGACACTCTGAGAAAACTCCATGCACATTCAATATTTTTTTATAGGGGTACTAGAAGACACTCTGAAAAAACTCCATGCACATTCAATATTTTTTTGATAGGGTACTAGAGACACTCTGAGAAAACTCCATGTACATTCAATATTTTTTGATAGGGGTACTAGAAGACACTGAGAAAACTCCATGTACATTCAATATTTTTTGACAGGGTACTAGAAGACACTGAGAAAACTCCATGTACATTCAATATTTTTTGACAGGGTACTAGAAGACACTGCGAACTATCGCCTTGGAAAGCAGTTTTGTACGAAGCTCTACCCCCCTCACCCAATGTTTTATTGCTTAACATATTTACTTTAATCATAATGTGAGTTTGTTCCAATGTACTAAAATATAATGGTTCTGAAAACGGTAATGTAACAACATTACTTTAATAGCAACCACTAACTGCGCCCCAAGTTTCTATATCTAAATTACTACCACGCTGTCATATTGATGCTGCAAGACAATGGGTAAGAAAAAAAAATAACACACACATCGCAGTTAACTGCATTTGTACGAAAAGGTTGGCCACAAAACCTGAGCATATGAAATAGAACTCGAAATGTCAGAAAACTGCCACAATCTAGAAAGTCCGGGAAAACGGTGCCTGAAATATCCCTGTCTCATGTGACAGTCATTAACCAATTCTTTATATACAAGATTGATATATAATAAGTGTGTCTCATCAAAAAGTAGATAGTTTCCGATTTTGGAACTTGCTACAGAAACACCCCTAGCTGAATTTAACTTATGGTCATATTTAAGAAGTTCTAGACTGGAACCTAGAAAAGTCTGTAAATTTTTAGTCACGGCACAGCTACTCGTCGAGAAGGCTCCGAGATTTTTTTTTAAGGTCAAACTTTTAGTTCATAGCTCTGTCATCGCTTGACCGATTTGAGATATAATTACAATTTTGGACTCGGAAGGTCAAAAACACCCTTTTGACTGATGTATTTGACCATGCTCAAGGTCTCGTGGGTTAATTTACTTTAATCCTGCCTAAAAGAATTTCAATTTGAGGGTAGGTTGGTAGAGATCTTGATGAGCAATAAAATCGAATCTGGTATACAAAAATATAGCTAATAAAAAGGGAAAAAAAGACTCACAGATTAATTTATTCTAATCCTGACTGAAATAATTTCAATTATATAGTTTACCCTCACTGCAAGTTCCTGAAATCAGTAGTTGAAAAGTTGCAAGCAAATAGAGGCGTCACCGAGCCAGTGAATTCACTTGTATATCCTACATTGATTCAGGTTGTGTAGGTGTTTGTCCGCGAAATCCTCCCACAGTTTTGGAGCTAGTTGGGCCAATATTGGCAGGGGGTGTCATCATCTATATGAATTAGCCTTCTTAATAAGGGGGACTAATCCGCGCCTCGAAACTCACCAATCATGATGTAACGAGAAGGTTTTCAGGGTATCTGAACCAGTTATATTGATACGATTGTGTATTTCTGGACCTCCTCGATCACTGTTTGAAATACTTGCTCTGATGTCACTGGTGGGTGTCCTAATAAAGTTCAGACCCCTCTTTGGGTAGATTTAGAAGTAATTGGGGATAATGGAAGAGCTTGATCGGTACATTGGGGGAATTTATGCTAGTCATAATAAAGAACGTAATAACTATATACATATTTACGTGTTTATGCATCACTTGGTTGGTTTGTTTAGCGTTTTATGGCGCAAAGCAACTAGGCTATCTGCGCCAACCCATCACTTTGTCTCAACCAAGATAACCGTATTTATTTATGCAATGCATACTTTGGAAAATACGGTCACATCTTGTTTAAGGTAACTGGGCTTTAATATAACCCAGGCAATTAATTCCAACACTGATGGGATTTGGTGTTAAATATTTTTGACTGACTCTTACCAGGGAACCATTAACCACAAACATCGTGGACACGCTAGTAATTCGATGCATAAATGATTTATAGAAAGGTGTTTAAAAACCCTATTACATACAGTCGGTAATTCTAGGGTTATAGTTATATAGTTTTATTTAAATTGTTAAGCCTAACATAAAATGCGATAACGTATTAATTGAGGTTTAAAAAAGAAAGTGAAATATAGTATCTCAAATCTTGAAAAATAAACAGATCTTTCAGATGGGAAAACATTTATAATTTTCTTTTATATACTGTGGTAATTCTTTCAATTACAAATGAATAATATATATTTTGTGATTTTTAAACTATATGTAAACATTAGTTCACCTTCTCTTGATTTATGTTATGTCAATACTTGAAAATATCAAATACAGATCTAAACGGAGACTGTAAAACGAGAAGTTTCACTTTAAAAATTATTTTTCTAGAAGTAGGCATTGGATAGTACAACAGCATATTTACTTCAGAATTTATACCCAGTTTTGAAATTAAGATCACATGTAAATATTTTATTACAAAAAAGTAATTAGAGAAAAAATTAGGAAAGTAAACACAATAGCTAATATGTTGTTAAATCTTCTTGTTATCCAAATACAAGTTTGACTGGGTAATGAAAAAAACTATTATAAATGTATGACGTTTTGACAAGATTATGTCATCCTCATGTACAAATAGTTTACAGAGACGCATTAATCGTATATGTACAGTATGGAACAAAGAGGTCAAATAACGGGATATTGCTTTACAGCCTAGTATAGGTATCTTGGTACCCTGGGGTGTTGGTTTAAGATGGGTCTGTTAAGATAGCTTCCTATATCTTGCGTTTATTGATGTTTGGTTCTTTGTTTAAAATTAGTGTTTTGTATAGATATACTGTGGTTTCTTTGAGTTGCAACACCTCGGGGTACCAAAGATACCTATACTATCTCAGGTATAATAAGTTTATCACAGTTTGAGATGTAATGGCGTTGCTATGTGGTTGTTCAGCTGAACAACCAACGCCATTATATCTCAAACTGTGATAAACGTATCCTGCCTAAGATAGGCAAAGTTAAGAGTGAAAACTTTGTTGAACAAACAGACGTCAACATCTATATCAAATGCATCTAAATATGTGAAGCAATCTCCCGTCATGTGACCTATTTGATCCATACTGTATTCATGTGTCTGTAAACTACTTGCACCTGAGGATGTCCTAATCTTGTCAAAACATCGTACATTTATCATAAAGTTTTCTTCTTTACCTAGTCAAACCGTCTCCAAACTTTTATTTTCTACAAAGTGGGTTCCTCTTCATCAAATTTACATTCTTGTAAACCAGTTCTCTTTTAATCAAATAATTTTTTTTACAGTGAGAGTTGGAGTCTCTTTATATCATAAGTTTGTTGAATTACTTATTTTAAATAATCTATTGCTATATATTAATATCCAACCATCCTCACAAGGAGTGCAACTGTTTCCTTTTATACTCATGGTGTAGAAATCAAGGTATAAAATGCATAACTTTAAATAAAGACTACATATTAGAGGAAACGTGTTTTATAAATTAACCAAAGGCTATTCCATCTTCTAAAACCCTAAATGTTATGCAAATAATACTCCACAAAAACAATCTATATCCCTATCATATTTGTTAACATATATGCACAGAATTCAAGAGAAATTTAATTTTTTTTCAAACAAGATTAATTAATAATAGCATCATATGTCAGAAGTTTGTTCTTGAAGTATTAAAACTGCTCATTTAAACTTAGTTGCTTTGATTTGAATAACTCCGAAATGCAAACAACAATGTATATATATCACATTACACTCACTCATTTTAATCTTAAAAAGAATTACATTATTTACCTGGGGTCTAACAAAAATCATTAAACAAGTTATGCTGAAACCACAAAAACAATATTTATCGATAATGTATAGTAAGGTGCTTGTTCTTGGACTTTTCTAACATAATTTCCTGCATTTTGGGAATTATTTTATTACCATCAGAAGATTTGTATTTAAGTGTCTTTTTTATCAGCCACCCACTTCAGTTTGCCATTAAGAAAAATTGGGTAATGTTATCGTTTCAAAACCTTCTTAAATCTTAACATTTATTGACTATAAAACCATATTTGACAGTATTAAGAAGAAAAGAATAAAAATATGCAGGAGACATAACCTGCATGGAATGAAGAATCTGAGATACTTGTTTTGTTGCAAGGGTATTGTACTACCCTAATACTCTAATAAGGGTTTCTTTTTCTTATGGATATTAAAAAACATCAATTTTTTTCCATCTTCCTGGGTTGGGAACTCATACAAGAATTGAGCTGTGAAGCATTCTAAAAAAAGCACCACCTGTTATAAATTCACAAAAATCACCAGGACAGTCAGACTATTCCTCATCAGAGAACTGATTATCATTGTTACCAACGGTAGTACTGCAAATGTAAACGTAGAATAAAATTCCAATTCATCTGACAAGAATGAACTTTTGAAGTATAACACTAATGCACACACACATATCCATCCACACAATGTCATATGAAAACTTTTCTGCTTATCTATAGAGGATATTTAAATAGTTCCATATGTAATTGTTTTACACTCACAAAAAAGAAACCTATCATTCTATAAGTATTTGAAGAATTTGTAGCATTTTGCCACAATTTAATTCTTCGTATTGTGTTGGCTAACAATACCAAGAATTAAATTGTGGTGAAATGCTAGAAGTTCTTCAAATACCTATAGAATGACAGGTTGCTTTTTTGTGAGTATAAAAAACTTAAATACACCATTTCGATTTTCGATACCTCACTACTATAAATGCTTGTTTTGGTCTGAAATTTCATTTGGTGGTAGTGTCCAGGGTCACTGATGAAGAGTGAAATTCTCCGAAACTAGTCTGGCTCAAAGACACACCCCAATGAAAGGATAGACCATTTCAAGCTTTTACTTGTTGTTAAACAAATGTTTAAACAACTCTATTCAATTAAGTTCCATGTATAGTTTATTTCATTGAATAATATAAAATATTTTAAAGT